GCAAGTTTTTTTCATAACGTACCTGTATTAGAAATGAATTCCCGATTGTGCTTCTGCTTCTCTTCTTGTTTGATGTTTGTCTTAACATAATGCAGAAAAAGCCCAAGATCATAGAGAATCTTATTTTTGCAGATTCTCGATTCTGAAGAAATGCAGAAGTTTACCTATGGAGCTCTAGCTGCACTGGGTGGCGCAATCTTCTACGCCAACCTGCCGACGAGGTTAACCATCGGCGCCGTTGCGCCAACGTTTGAGTATCTCTCCAAGGCTAAGCTTATCCCAATTCCAGAAGAATCTAGTATTGATGAGAAGAGAGTGAAGGAGGTATAGGTCTCTGATGGTTAACAAGGTTGATATGTGTTTCCAAAATGTCTACAATATAGGCTTCTACACTTTTCTCCGAAGGACCAACTATGGTGATGGCTGTGCGTCGTCCTGGATGCTTACTATGTCGGAAAGAGGCAGCCGAATTGAGCTCACTTGAACCGAACATGAGACTGGCTGGCATCAATCTAGTGAGTTAATATCTGTATATAATAGATTATATTTATTTATTATTTGACTTTCAGTTAAAGTTTTGGTTGCTTGTCTTTAGAAGTATGTTTTCTTCAGCTACTCGCGGGTCATCTAACAAGTAAAATTCCTTGTTCTAGTCAGGAGACTCGTTCTTATCTTTGAAAATTTTTTGCAAACTGATAATGTTTCTCTCTTGACGATCATGGAACAGATCAAATTTCTTCGTAGGGAAAGGATATACATCCGTCAGCTCGAGCAAACTGTGCGATGGAAGCTTAGTCATTGTAGCAGAATATAAATAATCAAAACATCATCCAGAATTTTCAGCTGGTATTATCTGCAGCCTCACTGTAGTGGTATACAAAATATCACACCATCCCATTGATTTGTTTCTAATCAGATATTGAAGAAGGTTGCTTTAAAAAAAAGAATTTCTTCCTTTAAACTGAACACAACATGTCATAAACTTATTGATATTTAACTAGGTGATGCCCTTGATCTTGCAAAATAAAAATACTTTCGCCACAAATCTTGTTTCGGCCAGATCGCCGTCGTTCACGAGGCAACGGGTGTGAATCAGTTCAAGCCGTACTTCAAAGGAGACGTCTATCTCGATAAGGAGGTAATGTTAATGCCGTTACAATTATCTACAGCTTACACACAAAATTCTTCATATTAAGGCAATATTTGAGTAGGGTACACAATTTTCAGTTTGGAAATTCTGCAAAGCTATAGTTTTGCAGCAGCTTTTGTGCTATCTTTCTTTACTGTAGATCTTACCGTCTGTAGATTAGGGAAAGTGGATATGGAAGAAAATCAGACTAGATGATGTGATGAATAGCTAGTGCCTGACTCGGAAATTGTTGGTACAGATAG